CCTCTCGCCCCGCCTCTCGCCCCGCCTCTCGCCCCGCCTCTTGCCCCGCCTCTTGCCCCGCCTCGCAACCCGCAATTCACCGCCGCGCCGCAGCAGCCGCCGCCCCGCTCCACCGTCAGGTCTATGGCCCCGTCGCTCCTACAGACGCTGCCCACCGGAGCACTGAAGTGCAACCGCGTACTTAACCTAATCACGGTGGCGCTACTGGGGAGACGTAGTACCTAATAAACTCATCCGTGCGTGTTGATTCTACTTTGCATCCGAGTGCAATTGAAAACAAATTAAAGACCAGTGGGTATTTTTTCTTGGCGGTATACCTTCCATGAAACTGATTACAAAATAAATATTTCAAACGCAATATCTTTACGACAAAATCTTTTGATTCCTGACATTTTTTGCATTTTTTTAATAAAGTTCAAATTATTTAAATTGAATTCAGATAATTCACGTATCACATCACGTAATTTTTGTTAAATCCATTATTCTGAAATACATGATAAACTGGAATTTGTTCTCTACCATCATACCACACGAAACATATGTAAAAAATAAACCAAATGACATAATTATCTTATTATTTCAAAATAAAAATAAATAAAGCAAACACATATAGAAAAGTATATTATTACTCACATTCTGATTAAAGACTTTTAATAAAATCGTCGATATTGTTTATTATTAGATTCTCTCCCCATAATAAACACGTGAAAAACGTTTATCATAATATTATCAAAAAATACTGAAACAACTCCAACAGCAAGTTTTAGCCAGACTGTATTATTAACAAAGCAAAAAGGACATACACTTCAGGGTATTTGCGCTAAAGTTACGAGAACGTTTTCAACACAAGTCTGGAACTAGTTGAAGTTTTAGTTGAGATAGCTGGAAAACCGGGAACGGATTCACTCGTCGCCGCTGGCTCTTTCTCAGTATCTGTTGCGATCGCCAGAGTTCCTGGCATCGACACTTCACTGCGACTCGCACACTCGCACATCTCAGTGATATAATGGAAGAGAAATATATATTTCAATAAAGAAATTTGAATTTTTAATCATTTTATTTGTTAAATCATAAATATTAAAATAATAAGTATTACTATTCTAATTATTTAAAAATTAATTATATTTCAAGAATAGTAATTTTAAAATTTTATGTAAAATGCATGCACATACAATATTTTATTACTAAGGTGTAAAAGAAAGCACATTATTCCCCTATTTTAAACAAACAGGTACCAGCAAAATAACAAAATTCTGAAAAAAATAACTGTGCAATGCAGCAGTTCGTGCTACCTATAAATGTGATTATTTTCTTATAGCGGGAGCTCAAAATGAAATTTATAACTTTATACTTCCAGCAATATTTATTCGGACTATCAGATTATCGTTCTGGTACACATACATTTTCATTTTAAAATGCAACAACAGAGCGCCAACTATAGCAATGTACCTTATTATTTCAAACATTTTTTTAAAATCGTTCTACTATATTCATTAAATTACTTTTTCCACATTTAACACACAAATATTTTTTTTATCTCATTGGCTGTGTATTATCGCTTACTTACATTCATATCGCATGCTTTGTAACAAACCATTCGGCTTATTCCACATAGTATTTCCATTTTTGACTGGAATTCCGTGATTTAAGGCTCTCGGCTGCCGTTTTATTTGTCCAGTATAAATTAGGCCCCAGCAACCTTAATTCAGCGGGTACGCTGTTTCCATTGATTTCCGGCGCCACCTCTGTGCCACGTCCACGGCCTCCTTCCCTTTCAGTGCAACCGCACAACCTCCACCTCCACC